CTCTTTCTTGGACTACCTAGGCTCTTAATTTCAACTTTCATACTGTTATATATCCTTACTGGATGGACATTTCTTACACTATGTTATATCCTCTCTCAGTAATTTTTTCCACAGTTGCTTTTTGATGCTGAAATATCTTCCAAATTTATAACAATAAATTTTTTTCCAAGCATAGCACAAAGAAAAATACAATAAAAAAAATCTATTGACATGTCCACTTTTGATTTGTGTACTTCTTTTATTTTTTTACATATTTAACTATTAAGTAGAAGATTCATTTAGAGAACCTAAATCTCTATATGAAAATATACATATTTTTAAATTTCCTTTGTACATTGTACTCTATATATGTATGATTTAAATGATATCTTAGTTAAGTACTCTTGTAAGTACTATTATGAATGTTTAGAAAGTAAGTTTTATTTTCTCTCAAGAGTTGCTAGAACTATCTGGCAGGAAATACTCTATATATACACTTTTAACCAAAACATGAAGTAAAACTAAGCATGGGAGGAGAGTCCCATATTCTGCTGGTTAAGGGAGCCAGATCCTACATGGTGACCATGGTTTGAAGCCTGCCCTGGCAATCTGAAAAACATGTTGGGTGAGCATGGATGCATGACACAAATTCCAGCAGGATAAAGGAATAGAGGAGAAGGGACTGAGGCATGACCATACTCTATTTGGGTTTTGTTCCCTCCTTCTCTTTCTCTGGCGATTGCTCAGGTCCTCTGGCAAATAATAATGTAAATAATAAATTAATTTTTAAAAACTTATTGCATCAACCAGTGGTGTGGTGACTAAGACAGATGGATCCCACATGGCTGACCACATGGTTCAAGTCCTGGACCCAGCAGCTTGAAAAACATGCCAGGCACCTTTGTGTGTATACCCAAAATACAGAGAGAATGGAAGAGAAGGGTTGTGGTGAGGCCATCCCTATACAGATGTTCTCTCACATTTATTCATTCTCTCTCTCTCTCATGTGCTCCATGGCAAATTAAAAAGAATAGCAGCAAAAACCTAAGCATGAGATTTTTTATTAACCAACTAACATCTTGTAATATTTATATTGCATAAATGTAAATTGAAAAATATTTTTATAATAGTATTCAAAATGAATACTATTTTATAATACTATTCAAAATGAAAACTGCATTTTGCCAGGTGTCCTAGGACTTACTTGGAATTCTAAATAGACTAAGTTGTATAAAGAAAGTGCTATCAAGATAAACAAATAATGCTAAAACTGAAAGAAAAGGGGGAAAAGTAATTTGACTATTGTTAGAAAAGAAGTGACAAGTAGGTTCTCATTTGCTTAGAAACATTTAGCTTAAGACGTTACAAGTACAACTGAGTCATACCTCTTATGAACCACAACCTCGACAGAATGTCAAAATTTGCAAATGTATTCTTATGTATTTTCCCAAAAAACCATTCCAGCTGTGTTACAAGTCAGCCTCAGCAACAAGATTAGCACTCAAACTAAGAAACACGTTAAGCAATGAAAAAATGTTCCAGAACGGTTATGTAACTTGAAGGTACTTACTTCAGTGTTATGATACTGGGATTTACAGTCACAAGGTTTGTTTTACTGCCAACATCTTTACTGACATTTCCTGTGGTTGGGGGGAGGTTACACCTAAAATTCAGAAGGGACACTATTTTCAAAATAAAACTTGTAAAAAAAAATTTGTGTATATATACATACAAACACACCAGTACATATGATAAGTGTCCTTAGTTTGGAGAAAACCATTGCTCTTAAGAGAGTTTCAGAATCCATTTGATTTCCATTTTAAATTATTTAATAAGCGCTCAACTCTTGGTTGATATGGAAATGTTGAATATCGTATAAAAATTTATAAGTGCTTTCAATATTGGTCATTAGTTTTATACCTATCCAGACCAGAAATGACAATTCCACCCTGCCTAGGTTTTGAGGTGTTCCCTACTCTTTTTATTAAAGCCATTATTTATATTGATTATATTCCCAGTGTTATGATTACTAATTTGCATTCTGAACAAAAGCTGAGAATGCACTGTGACTAAGGTGATAAGAGTTGGCTGGAAACAAAGACTGCACATAAAGAATCAAAATGTCCTGATTCCCATATGGATAGTTTCACCACTATGTTCTTATAGGGATGTTTTCATCCTCTTTTGAGTACTAGTTTGTTTTTAAATTGGAAAACAAACTAAGAATTCTAATTTCGAGTACTTACATTCTCATCACACAAAAAGGGAAAGTTGGTTATGACTCCCTAAATATTGTTTACAGAATTTCAAGTAGTTCACTTCTTTCAGGCTACACATAACAAGGGGGCACTTTTGAGTGCTTTCTAAGGAAGGATTTTTAAAATTGACATGGTCTGTATCGTGATTGAGGTCGACATACTCTATTCCATGCCCTATAAAACATAGGATAAAATGAAATGCATTCCCTCATTATTATAAAAGATACATCAGAAAATAAAGGAGGCACATTGGGAAAATAAATAACAACAATGATAGTAGGTCACAGGGCTGACCTCATTAGTGGCCTTCCCATAACACATCTACTTTCTAGAACAGTTATCATACTCTTTTTGAAGAATCAAAAGTGATTTCCAGTATGGTACCACAGGAGACTACTGGGGAAAATATGGGGTATTATATATATAAGAAGGATCTTCAAAAAGTTTATAGAAAATGTGTATTATGGAAAAAAAAATAATGGGACCAGCAGTTAGCATAATGGCTATGTCGCTGGACTCCCATGGAGTCGACTGCAATTCAAGTCCCGGACCTGGTGGCTTAAACTCACACTGGGTGCATGTATGTGCGTGCCCAAGATCCCAAGAGGAGAATGGAGGAGAGGGGATTGTGGCGTGGTCATCCCCCCTGGGGGGTGATTACTCGCTTTCTGTCTCTCTGTCTCTCCTTCTTTCTGGCAAACACACGTGCCCTATAGCAAAAACCTCTAAAAAAAAATCATGTAAGAATTTCAAAAATCTTCTGCATCATGTACTAACTTGTTGTGACATGTCTAAACAGGATCTATATGGAGGTGCAAAGAAGGATAAGACATCCTTCTTATCAAAATCACATGAGTTCTGCTAAAACTGAAGTAATAGTAAACACCACATTTATGGTGATGGCTGGGTGGAAGAATGATGAAATCATTAATGCTTTACTGAAAGTTTATGTGGACAAAGCCCCTAAAGAAGTTGGCAGTTCGCAAATGGGTAAGAAGGGACAAGACAATGTTAAACATGAGGCCCACAGTGGTGGACCTTCCACGTTGACTTGCAAGAAAAAATCAATCCAATTTGTGTCCTAATTGAAAAGGACCAATTATTTACAGCAGAAACAAGAGCCAACTCTACAGACACCTCAACTGGTTCAGCTTACACAATTCTGACTGAAAAATTAAAGTTGATCACACTTTTTGCCCAAAGGCTGCCAAATACTGTTGCATACAGATTAGTTGGAGATAAGAGAAGAGCTTTCAAAGGAAACTTTAAACAAGTGGGATCAAGATCCCAAAGCAATTTTTTTGTTAAGACTTGTAACAGGAAATGACACGTGGCTTTGCCAGTAGAATCATGAAGACAAGGCACAATCAGAGCAATGGCTCCCATGAGGTAGAATTGGTCCAGTCAAAGCAAAAGCAGACTGGTCAAGAGCAAAGGTCATGGCAACAGGTTTTTTGTTCATTTTTATTTTTTTAGAATACTACAGGAATTTTTCTTGTTGACTTTCTGGAGGGCCAAAGAAGGGTAACACATGCTTATTATGAGAATGTTTTGAGAAAGTATACTGAAATTTTCAGCAGAAAAATGCCTGGGAAAGTTTCACGAGAGTCCTTTTCCACCTTGACAAAGCCCCTGTTCATCCTTCTCATCAAACAAGGGCGATTGTGTGAGAGTTTTGATGGAAAATCATTAGACACCCACTTACAGTCCTGATTTGGCTCCTCTGACTTCTTTTTGTTTTCTCATCTTCAAAAAGTCTTTAAAGGGTACCCATTTTTCTTCAGTTAATAGTATGAAAAGGACTGTATCGACATGGTTAAATTCTCAGGACCCTGATCAGTTCTTCAGGAATAGATCAAATGGCTTATAACATTGTTTAAAAAATGTCTTGAACATTATGTAGCTTATGTTGGAAAACAAAGATAATACTTTTTATCTTTTAATTCCATTTTCCATAAACTTTTTGAAGTTACCCCATGCATATATAAACATACAGATACACATAATAATGTAATATACTATGGCTGTACATATGTATTCATAAACACACACTATATATCTCTACATATAGTAGTATACTGTGTATATGTACACGTGTAAATAGATATATACACGCACAGTCGTAGCAGTACAATCACAGTCATTGTCCATTTTTGTTCCTTACATAATTCATAGCTCCCCATCTTTTGAAATAAAAGAAAAAAATCTAGCTTCTAGATTGTTTTATAAACTATCAGTATGCAAAATCCAAGTAAATGCAGGCTTCAAAAATTAATTGTAGGGGCTGACAGGTGGCATATAGTGGTTAGGGTGCTGGACTTGCACATGGCCAAACATGGTTTGAGTCCCAGACCTGGTGGCTTGCTTTCTCACTTTCCTCCTTTTTCTCTCTCTGGTCACATTAAAAATTAATTAATTAATTAAATGATTCTTTAAAAATTTGATTTTACTGACATCAACCACATTTAGCTAATTACTTTGCCTTTTAGTTTCTACAGCTACCAGCTACCAGCTCAGAGAGCTCTATACATTAAAAAAACAAAAAACAAAAAAAAAAAAAACCCAGGGACCAGCAGTTAGCATAATGGCTATGTCGCTGGACTCCCACGCAGTCGACTGCGGTGTGAGTCCGGGACCCAGTGGCTTAAACTCATACCGGGCGCGTGTGCGTGCGTGCGCAAGATCCCGAGAGGAGAGTGGAGGAGAAGGGATTGCGGTGTGGCCATCCCCTCTGGGGGGTGATTTCTCGCTTTCTTTCTCTCTGTCTCTGTCTGGCGAGCGCACGCACCCTATAGCAAAAACCTCTCCAATAAAAAAAACAAAAACAAAAACAAAACCACTGTTTTCTGCAAATGTGGAATGCATAGGAATTTACTTTAGAGTTATAAACGAATTATCTGCTGAGTTTTGTTTGATTTATTTAGGTTTTAAACCTAAACTTACAGTGTTTTTTGTATGTGCTATAAAGTAAGATGAATGTTTAGGCGTCCTACTTGGCACAGATGTTTTAGCAATTTTAAGTCTATAAAAAGTCTATTATAAGAAGATTATTTATCTTCGTTATGTTTTTTTCACACTGGGTACTTGAACAAAATGGCTGAACTATTCAGATATCGGCCATGTTGACGTTAGTCATGAAGAACGTGCTCTATAATTGTTGGACTGTCAAGTCTATTGCTCCATCATCAGCTTCAGCATCAAAATTTTAAAATGAGATTAGAATGAAGGAAGAGCTATTTATTAAAAATTGTGTTGATTTTTTATTTGGCAGAAAGGGCAGCATGTAAGGACCTTTTCTGATGTATGAAATCAGGAAGGAACAGATTTCCACTTTTTAAAAAGGTGCATTTCAATTGAAACCCATCCTCAGATGGATGAATCACCTTTCCGTCATGCTCTGAAAGCGGTGATGCTTTGTAGCCTGGCTGATTAGTACCAGGAACACAGAGAAACCATTTTTGTTTCTATTTTTTCAGACTAGCTGGTATTGAGATACAAATACATTTTAAAAGCCCCGAATTTAGAAGCTGTAAAACATTATTATTTTTTTTTAATATTTCAAGTCAGAAAACAAGGTGATATTTCATGGTTATTAAACATCTCTATCAGAATGTTCCCATGTTTTACCCAAGAACAGAACTTCTTTGAAATGTTCTGTAAAAAAAGAAGTCTTCATGGTCAGGTGAGTTTGGAAAAGGTTGTTCCCCAGAGTTCTTCCTGTGGTGCTTGTTAATACAGTGAAGTCCCTGACAAGTCCTGCAGTCCAAAACCGTCTTTACCATGATTTCATCTAGAGTTTCCTAAAAGTAGATGACCTCAGCAAATTTTTATCTTTCCACAGTCTGAGGAACTCACAAGCCATGTAATACTTCAGGAAAACCTACCTGGATAATTTGTAGGCTTCAATGATATAGCTAAGAGATCAAAATTTTCACAGGTTATCTTTATACCATCCCTTTAGGATATCTAAAAGACTTTGTTTGTTTTTGTCTCAAAGAAACCAATTTGACAGGTCTTACCTAAAAACGAAGTCGGATTTATCTATTTCAGCTCCACACAGAGACTTATTCAGAATTCCCCCATTTCCAACCACAGCACACTGATTATAAGGGTACTCCATGAAGGGCTGGGACTAGCACAAGAAAAGTGAAAAGCTCCCATAAAATACCATTGGTTTAGAACCACATGCATCAACTTAAACTTCTAGTATACATCTAGTAGCTTAACTTTTATATATGCTGAAGAGAAGATTTCAAAAGGCAAGCAAAAGACACAGACACAGTATTAAGAAGAAAGGCAGCACCATCTATGGCACAACTTATTACAATTAATAATAAAAAAAATTACAATTGCTAAGACATGGAATCAGCCCAAATGCCCAAGAACAGACAACTAGACTGAAAAAGTGCACATGGATATACAATGGAATACTACCCAAACATGAAAAGTACTCAGACCCTGACATTTGATACAAAGTGAATGAATATGAATAAGCAAAGCAAGCCAGGCTATGAAAGACAGACATTGTATGTCCCCACTCAATATATGCTGAATGTCTGCACTCTTGCAGAAACTGAAAGATGGAAGGTACATTAGCAGGGAGGGCAACTGCAGATACCAGAGACAGTATAGGAAGAGGAAAGTAACAGGAGATGGGAGTCAGGAAAGGGGGAGGAAATGTTTAACAGACATATGAAGGAAAGTTATCTGTTGATAACAATGTATATGGTAATATCTTTGACTTGATTGACATACCCTACATCCATGCTGGAAAAACCATTTTATATACTGTAAAAATTGACAGTGATTAAATGCAAATTTAAAAAAGTATAAAAAATGAAATTAAATTGATTTTTAAAAAGACAGGTGAAAAGAAAACATATGAACCCAAGTTTCATTTCTTTTAAGAGGAACAGACATTATATATGATCTAATATAATATAAGGATACAAAATATATCTATATGCAAAATACAATGTATTTTACATCACGTAATGAAGTGGATAAAATGAAAATGGCAAAATTCCACATTGTGCTTTTCTGACAAGCAGGGACATTTTCAGCAAAAGAGGAAAAACAGAGAAATTAGGAGCATTAAATCTTCTATTCTAAGGTATAGAATTAATAGGTAATTCAGTAAAAATGTCCTATGCTTCTTAAATAGTTAGACCTTCAGGCTCAGTAATAGTATGAGATTTATGCCTGCCATCTCTGCAAATGGCCAGCCAGGGTGCCGCAGGGAGGCCTACCAACTCTGCACCAGCATATTTCAAATTAATTTCCAAGGCCTGAATCTTTTTTACTTCCTCCTAGGACCTAACCGGCTTACCTTTAAAGGTTTCCCACTTTCCTCAAGTCCTCCACAGTCTGAAACTTAACTTTCAGTTCAACAGTGTAATTCTCCTTTCTGGTCACTTTTCTTGAAGTAATCATGTGACTGTGAATCCTCAGCAAGGGTGCCAGCTCTTACTCCACAGGGAGGAGGTCCTGATTCACCTACTTTGTCTCTAGAAGTAGAGTGTAAGTCCTCAAGGGCACAGAGGCCACATATTAGCTTCAACTTCCCCTCATCTTTCCCTCCATATCTAGCACACTCCAATGTACACAGAGCGCTGTCACTAAGCACTTGGTGGTCCAATGCTTCTCACCCCAATACACCCCAGCATTGTCTGGATGTGGCTGGGAAGAGACCGAAAGAGCCAATTAGTGAATGTACTTGGGAATTCTGTGAGCTGGCCATTAAACCATTGCTAACTGGATATTGGCCATGATAGGAGTATTTACACCACTGAAATTGGCAAAGGTTACAAAGTCAAGGTACACCCCTCCCCAAATCCAGTTTACCAGCACCACTAACTATAGCCCAGGGCCAGTTTGGTTCTGAGCAGCCTATCCAAAGGGCTAGAAAACCCCTTAACCCACCATAACTGTCTTCCACTCCAACACACAAGAGAACTCTGCTTCAGTACTTCTCACTTTGCAAGCTTGTTTTTAAAACTTCAAAGTTATATTGTGCTTATTATGTGAGAGGCACGGTTCCAAGTGCATAACTTATTAGCACATTTAACCCACATAACAGTCTTGTCGGCATTTTGCAGATGGGAAAATGATGCACATGTTTAAGTGACAGCCAGAAAGTGGCAGAGCTGTGGGTAACATAGGCAGTCTGCTCTGACTACACGCTTTCAGCCACTACACATACGTAGCTTCTCACCATTCAGTGGGTCAAAATGTTGACTCACAATGCCTACCACAGTACCTGGTTCTTAAACTAATCATTCCCAAACACCCTGGGCTATTTCACATCATTGAACTTCTAGCTTATGACGTCTTCAGGCAATGTCTTCTAAATAGTACCACAATAAATTCTGGAATTTATAGACAGTGTAGAATGCAAAAATGCAAATACGCACTTTATGGTACAATCGAAAAAAATTACTGAGGGAAGTATATCTCAAATGAAGCACTCAAAATAATGAATGTTTTTTCCTGGTTTCTTGGTCAGTTGGGGGAAACCATCCATATGCTCTGGGATCTCATGTTCAGTGAGAGTTTAAATAAATCACAAACTTCAACATTCCCTCAAATAAACCTCTCAAGAAAATGCAAATTTGCACGGCTCAACCGCCTGCTCATTGCTCACTCTGGTTGAAAATCAACTTTCTTGTTTTCCTTGTCAAATAACTTAGCACTGTTCTTGGAGGAAGTTTTTCACACCATTTAATCAAAAGCATTTATTGCGATTTCTTATGCACCCAATAGTTCCCAAGAGCTGCATGAGGAGGGGTGGAGCAGAACAGGATGGACCCAGGGGAAGCAAGATGGAAAGAGGCCAACCTCACCATGAGCCCTATCCATGGAAGGTCAATGTTGAAGCAACACAGAAAAGTGACCTTGTTTTACAGCCGTTACTGAATTGACTACAGAAACTCTTCCCTCCACATTTTAAAGTATCAGTATAAACTTGGAAAGTGGATGCAGATATTAATCAATTAATTCAAGCCTATGTTAAATTACTGCTTTTGTGGTGCCAAATGAGAGGCAAAATAGCTGCTGCTCCTCTGTTCTGGTCAGCAGAAAACAAGGTAAACATTACCAAAACTTACACAGGTGAAAGAGTAGTTCATTGTAGAATGCTCCAAAACCTTCCTTGATAGAGAATAGAAGTATTCTTTTGTTATCATCTTATTTTTTTTTTAGAGGTTTTTGCTATAGGGTGCATGCACTTGCCAGAAAGACAGAGAGATAGAAAGCAAGAAATCACCCCCCAGGGGCGATGACCACGCCGCAATCCCTTCTCCTCCATTCTACTCTCAGGATCTTGGGCACACACGCACACACGCCCAGTGTGAGTTTAAGCCACCAGGTCCGGGACTTGAACTGCAGTCAACTACATGGGAGTTCAGCGACATAGCCATTACGCTAACTACTGGTCCCTTGTTATTATCTTTTCAATTATTAGTAATTTAATATATCATGAGAATACTTGGTGATTTTTTTTTTGGTACCCTATTTCTTCTAGAAAAGTTGCAGGTTTTTTTCTATTATTTTCTATTTATTTCTCATCCATTTTGAGCAAACAATTCTTTCTCTGAATTGGTACATTAAAAATAACTAGAATGGAAAACAAAAACAAACTAGAATGGGGACCAGCAGTTAGCGTAATGGCTATGTCGCTGGACTCCCATGGAGTCGACTGCAGTTCGCGTCCCGGACCTGGTGGCTTAAACTCACGATGGGCACGTGTGCGATCCTGAGAGGAGGATGGAGGAGAAGGGATTGCGGCAAGGCCATCCCCCAGAGGGGTGATTTCTCACTTTCTGTCTCTCTGTCTCTCTCTGTCTGTCTGGCGAGCACATGTGCCCTATAGCAAAAACCTCTCAACAACAACAACAAAAAAAACAACTAGAATTATTTTCATGAGCAACAATAAATTAGTTGAAATAAGTCAAAGAGCCAACAAAAGGGAATTCGTTATAATAATCTCTTACGCTATAGTTGGTAAACTGTGTTTACAGGATGATCCAATTTTGACCATACTGACATGGTCTAATAGCTTTAAATCAAATCATGAAAAGGTTATGAGCAACAAGATTTCCTTCATGACAAAAGTTTTTCCAAATTTGGATTTGCTGTAAGGGACAAGTTTCTTCTCACTTTGTCAAGTGGTTTTATACCACATTATTATTCATTTATTTAACAAATATGTGGTGAGTGCCTATATGTACTGAGGAATGTTCTGGGTGCTTGGGATACAACAGGGAATGCAGCAGACACAAATCCTTGTCTTATGGAGGTCATATTTATTGACCAAGAATTATTACATATACACTTGCCAAAAACAAGCCATATAAACCTATGGCTTATGTGAAGGAATTGATGTAGTCACAAAAATTGACAACTGGAAGAATCTTATTTCAGATTAAAAGAAAAAAAAGGTCATCTTCATAAGCCCTGGTAATTATTATACAGAAATTCCAAGTGCTTCATCTCACTCAAAGAACAGTCAAGAAGATTCAAGATCTAGAAAAGTTTATCATTTCAGATATAAGTATCACTTCCCGAGAGCCACACTACATTCAAAATTGCCTTTATAGGGTTAGCCCTGTGGCCTATGGTTAAGAGAACCAGATCTCACATGACTGGAATCCTAGTCCCCGCAGCTTAGAAACAGGTTGGCGGGACCAGCAGTTAGCGTAATGGCTATGTCGCTGGACTCCCATGTAGTTGACCGTGGTTTGAGTACCAGACCCAGTGGCTTAAACTCACGCCGGGCGCATGTGCATGCGTGCGTGCCCAAGATCCCGAGAGGAGAATGGAGGAGAAGGGATTGCGGCATGGCCATCTCCCCTGAGGGGGGTGATTTCTTGCTTTCTGTCTCTCTGTCTCTCTCTGTCTGTCTGGCAAGCGTACACGCCCTATAGCAAAAAAAAAAAAACCTCTCCAAAAAAAAAAAAAAACAGGCTGGCATGTGTGTATGCATGCCCCAAACCCCAACGGGGTGGAGAAATGGAGGAGGATTGTGGTATAACCACATCCCATTGGAGGGTATTTTCTCTCTCCCTCTTTATCTCTCTCTGTCAAGCAGATGTGCCCTCTGGCAATTAAAAAATTGCCTTTTAAAAATGACTCACCCTATCTATTTTATACAACATAACAGTGCATGGTATTTTAATTAATTCATTAATTAATACATTATTATAAGTTAAAGCTTAATGAGAAAGCTTACATGGAATGGTGAAACATAGCCTTCAACACGTCTTTACTCACCACTGGAAACATATGAAAAATGTTCTCTCTAATTGGGATTTCTTTCTTACTTTCCACTTCGTAACTCATGTTAGTCCCAACTGGAGTGTTATTTTGAGAAACAACGAAGTTCTGAACAGCATCACAACAGGAAGCAAGTTTTGCTCTGCAAAGGATAAGAATAAAAATGGACTGAGGAATATGATTAAAAAACCAAAAATAGAGACTACAATGGATAACGCAAAAGAGGATTTTGCCATGTTTGCTTTCAAAAGGGAGATGAATCATTCACAAAAATTATTTTTTAACTCATTCAATTCTACCTACTCCTGGACAGTAGAAAGGTGATTTGGTAGGTAAACTAGAGATGCATGTTAAGCCTTCTCACCAACAGAAATGATGAATGTAGCAGTTGTAAATATAAAGGAGATGGATAGTGGTACAGCAGTATGACGCAATACTCTGCAAGGCAATTCCACATGAGAAGGTTGCCAGTTCATGTCCAGAGACCTCCGAGTATACCAGGCATGCATGTGCTCATTATTTAGGCTGACTGAAACGGGGGTGGGGGCTGAATCATGGCGTTACGACTCTGTCAGATGGACTGTCTCTCTGTCTCTCAGTTATGGAATAAATAAATCAACTTTAAAATCTCTCTCTCTACACACACACACACACACACACATATAAACTTCTTTCTAATGGCATTGTTATAACATTAAAGAGAATGATGAAAATCAAAGGTGCATAGCATCATATAATGTTCTTTGTTGAAGACAATAAATATGGTAATAACCTTGATTTAATTGTCATATACTGTATGCGCATTGTAAAAAAATGGTATTGGGGCTAGCACTTGATCTGGTGGTTATATGAGCTGGATCCCACATGGCCAACTGTACGGTTCTAGTCCTAGATCAGCAGCTTGAAAAACATGCTGAGTGCCTGTACATGTGTGCCCAAAATCCCAAAAGAAGAGAGAAATGGAGACGGGATTGTGTCGTGATCATTTCCAATAGGTGGGATGAGTCCTCTCTCTCCCTCTCTCTTTCTCCTTCTCTCCTCTCGGTCTCCTTCCAGCAAGTACATATAGAAAGAAAGAAAAACAATACTGTGCCCCACAAGATGTGCAACATTTAAATGCAAAGAAGAAATGACAAAATATAAAAATAGGCAAAAAATGGACAAAAAGAGAAAACAAGAGATTATATTTTGTAATAATTATAGGATACAGAAACTAAGAATAGTATCACATTCAACAAAGCAATAGGCCATCATTTATTATGAGACAGTCCAGTAAAAAGAAGAACCACTTAACACAGTGAATTTTTAAGTGAAGCAAATTTAAAGTTGCCAATTCTTACATAAAGCTCAGGATATGTAAATTGGTCCAAGCTATATTTCAAAACTATTACTATAGGGTGGAACTTATAGAATGCAGACCCAGAAAAGTGCTTTCAGGGATCATCTGAGTTAGCCCTCAACCTCTGGCAGGTAAATGTAGAACTACTCAGAATTTATATTTCATTTATATAATTCTCAGGGGATATAGGTTCTTTAGCATCTCTTAATAACTATTCCAGAGTCTAATCATCTTCAAAGTCAAGAGTTTCTTCCAGCTGCACAAATGAACTATCTCTTAACTTAAATCCATTTTGCTTGTTAGTTTTGCATAAAATCTCCTTATGTAATTGAAAATGGTAATCAAGCAAAACTTTAACCTTTCAATCTTGAAGAGTTCACAGAATCTTCTCTCAGATTTTCCTCAAAGGACCACGGACATCTTTTTTCCTCCTTAAGCTTTGATATTTCTTCATATTATTTAAAAATATGTTTACAGCCAGTCCTATAGCCTTGTGGTTCAGGAAGCCAGATCCCACAGAGCCAACCGCAATTCAAATCCCGGCCCCAGAAGCTTGAAAAATATGCTGGGCATGTGGATATGCATGCTCTAAATCCCAAAAGGATAGAAAAATGGAGGAGAAGGGACTGCAGTGTGACCACGCCACACTGGGGGATACTTTCTCCCTCTCCCTCTCTGTCTCTCCTTCTGTCTTTCTCTGGTGAGTTCACACTCCCTTTGACAAAACAAACAAACATGTATACAAGCAGAGTCCAGCCATCGGACAAGGGACAGTGAACATTAGCAAGTAGAGCTGACTATGGTTAGATATGTTACAACTGGTCTCTCTCCAGTCCATTCTTACTATTGTTTCTTGGTACCGAAGGGTATATTTTTATACATGTGTCTACTGAATTTTGTCTTGTTGAAAAGACATGACATTTTTATGGCCATTTTGAATTCAGTTTTCCTGAATTCTAATAATTCTCAGGGTACAAAAAGTCAGGATAATATTGTTTATATCTTATCAGCTAACTTACTTTATTAAATAGTATATGCCTCTTTTATTTTTTTAAGAGAGATTTTTGCTATAGGGCATGTGCACTCATTAGTGACACAGAAACAGAAAGTGAGAAATCACCCTCCAGGGGAGAGGGCCATGCTGCAATCCCTTCTTCTCCATTCTCCGCTCGGGATTTTGGGCACACATGCACATGTGCCCAGCATGAGTTTTAAGCCACCAGGTCTGGGACTTGAACTGTGGTTGACCATGTGGGAGTCCAGCAACAAAACCATTACACCATCTACTGGTCCCAGTATATGGCTCTTAATCGAATTCTGTCACCTGCTTACTCATTTTGTATTTCAGAACCTACTATTATTTCTAAGAGATAGTTTCTGGAGATTAATAATAGAAATGAACTGAGGAATGGTCAAAAATATGATATTAAGTCATTTTTTAATTTTGAATTTAATTTGATAAATCATGTGATATATTACAACTTGGATATACATATGTGTTCATAATTTAAAAATTTTTTTGAGAGTTTTTTCCGTGTGCGCTTGCCAGACAGACAGAGAGAGACAGAGAGACAGAAAGCGAGAAATCACCTCCCAGTGGGGATGGCCATGCCGCAGTCCCTTCTCCTGCATTCTCCTCTCAGGATCTTGGGCACACATGCACATGTGCCCAGCGTGAGTTTAAGCCACCAGGTCTGGGACTCAAACCGTGGTCGATTACATGGGAGTCCAGTGACTTAGCCATGATGCCAACTGCTGGATCCTTAAATTTTTTTTTTTTATTCAGCATTTTAAGACAAAGCAATGTGATAAATTCTCATTTACTTTGACAAGTAATTTCTTCAAGGATATTCAGTAATTACAAGAATACTGTGCCACCAAAAATGCAAAACAGAGGGGCCAGCAAGTGGTATGGAGGTTAAGGTGTTGGACTCCCACATGGCCAACAGTGGTTTGAGTATTGGACCTGGTAGCTTGAAATTCATTATTGTTTTCCATCACAAATTAATTTTACAGTTCTGTTTTAATTTTTTTAAAGTTTGCTATAAGGCACATCTACCCATCAAAGAGAAAGAGAGAGCAAGAAGAAAAGTGAGAAAGCACTTGATGATCACACCACAATCCCTTCTCCATTCTTCTCTTGGGATTTTGGAAACACACATGTGCCTGGTGTGTTTTTTAAACCATAGGGTCCAGGACTCCAATTGGGCAGTCAGTCATGTGGGATCCAGCAGCCTTTCCCACCACACCATGGGCTGGCCCACCACTTCTGTTTAAGTTCATTTGTTTATTCTTTCTATGACAGAAAGACAGAGACAGAGAAAGGGCCAGGGACTCCAAGGGTACTCACATGATCCATCCCCAGCTTCGGCCAGCCCGGATCACCAGCACCTGCGAGCGAGCCTGCCCTGTGCACACAGGAGGCTTCCCCAGGTGGCAACAGTATCACAGAGTATGGAGTTGCTGCTGTGCCACCAGCTGGCCCCAAGTTTTGCTTTTTCCAGAATCTATATAAACAGAAATATTCTCCAGGTGTGCTCTTTTCTTTTCTCTTCTCTTCTCTTCTCTTCTCTTCTCTTCTCTTCTCTTCTCTTTTTTCTTTCCCTCCCTCCCTCCCTTCCTTCTTTTTTTGGAGAGGTTTTTACTATAGGGTGCATGCACTGGCCACAAAGACAGAGAGACAAAAAGCAAGAAATCACCCCCCAGGGGGGAGGGCCACTCCACAATCCCTTCTTCTCCATTCTCCTCTCAGGATCTTGGGCATGCACGCACACGCACCCGGCGTGAGTTTAAGCCACCGGGCCCAGGACTCGAACCATGATCGACTACATGGACGTCCAGTGACACAGCCATTATGCCAACTGCTGGTCCTGACAAGTTAAATTTCTTTAATGATTATAAGACTACTCACATTACCTACTTCATCTTGCTTAAGTTTTAGTTTGTAATTTTCAAGGAATTAATCCATTACTTCAGAGTTGAATTTATGAGCATAAAGTGGTTTGTATCAGGGATTCAAACTGCAGTCAGCCATGTGGGAGTCCAGCGCCTTAACCACCATGCTACCCACTATGTATCTCCCCCCCTCAGTTTCATTTTTATTGATTTGTGCCCTTCCCTTTATGGTTTCCTTTCTTCTGCTTGTTTTAGTTCACTTTGCTCCTCTTTTTCTAGTTTCATTAGACAGGAACTCAGACTATTGATTTGCGACCTTTCCTCTTAAGATTGATAGAAATATTCCTCTCAGCACTGCATTGGCAATATACTTATATCTCGATAATCTATATTTTTATTTTCTGTGTTTAAAAAAAAAACTCTTCAGGTATCTTCCCTTTTTAAAAGATTATTTAATTTTATTTATTATTATTTTTTTTTTAATTTAACCAGAGAGAGACAGAGAGAGAGGGGAAATGAGAAAACAAGCCACAAGGTCCAGGACTTGAACTGCAGTCAGCCATGTGGGAATCCAGTGCCTTAACCACCATGCCACTGGCCAACCCCAGGTACTCCCTTTTTTTTTTTTTTTGGAGAGGTTTTCGCTATAGGGCGCGTGCACCCGCC